GAGTGGGGCGTCAAGCTCCCATACGGCCACCGTGTCGGCGCAGGTGACGATGCGCATCCTCAGGGAGAGAGAGAGGCGTGTCCGGAGCTGGCGCCGAGGCCGCTCCACTCACCACTCGGCGCGCCACTTGGCAGACCGTCGCGTCGCGGGCACCACCATGGCCGACCAAGGCTGACAAGGCAGCAGATTCGGTATGGGAAAACGGTTTATCCGTGGCTGCTTACCAGTGGTGCTGGCCTGGCTTGGGCGCAAGCATAGGCTTGGGCTTGGGTGCCGGCTTGGGCAGGGGCTTGGGTGCCGGCTTGGGCGCGGTCAGCGGCTTGGGCAAGGGCTTGGGCAGGGGCTTGGGCGCGGTCTGCGACTTGGCGGCCGAGCGGAACGGGCCTGGGGCAACCGTATCACCGGCAAAGACCTGACCCGGGCGGGAGCCCGGGCTCGGGCTCGCGCGGGAGAGCGGGAGCGGGCGGAGGGGCGGCTTGGCGACAACGGCGGCGGCTGGCGCCGGCTCGACATAGTTGTAGGGGAAAACGCCGCGGCGCGACGAGCCTTCGATCTGGCCCAGCGCCCAACCGTCGTCGTGGATGACGTGGACAAGGATGGTTTCGCCCTTGCTAAAGTCGAGTTCGTCGTGGTTGGCGCCCGAGAACGCGTACTTGGCGCGGACCCGCTCGACAGCCGCCGACGCTGGTGGGAACATGGGCTTGGGCGGCTCCGAGACTCGGCCCATTGTAGTAGTCGCCGGGAACGTGTCCAGCGGCATGGTGTCGGTGGTGTTGTACGCCCGACGTGAACGAGTCGCCCGTGTAGACAAAGGCCGATGACGACGAGCGCCGACGGACGACAACCACGATCGCCACGGCGACGCAGAGAACGACGACGCCCGCGCCGATGGCGCCGTACATCCACACAGGCATGCCCGAGCTTGAGCTACCGCTCGTGCTAGCGCCCGAGACCTGGACGTTGTCGGCGTTGCCGGCTTCAGCTGCAAACGTGATCGACGTCGGCTCGTTCGACCGGATAGTGACGTAGTACGTCGAACGCGAGGCGGCGTCGGCCAAGACAACCGACTGCCGCTCACCGGCCTGTCCGTTGGCGGCGAGCCGGTCCGACGTCGACGGCGAGTAGCCGACAACCAGCTCCAGCACCGCACGCGTCGATGCAGGCGTTGCCGACAGTGTCACAGCCGACCCGCCGACCTGGAGCAGCCCGCGCCGCACCGATCCAGTCGGCACGCTTAGCACGGCGAAGAAAGGCGTCGACGGCGTCGCCGTGCCGTCGCGGCTGAGCCCGGCCGCCGTCCACGTCATCCTCTCGATCGTTGCCGCCACACACGCGGTTGACGACGGGTTCGGCACTTGGCCAAAGCCGCAGGTCACCGTTGACGGAGTGGGCGCCGGGGTGGGCGCCGGAGTCGGGCCTGGCGTGGGCGCCGGGGTCGGGCCTGGAGTCGGAGCCGGGGTCGGGGCAGGGGTGGGAGCCGGGGTCGGGCCTGGGGTCGGGGCCGGGGTCGGGGCAGGGGTCGGAGCCGGGGTCGGAGCCGGAGTCGGGCCTGGGGTCGGGGCCGGAGTCGGGCCTGGGGTCGGGGCCGGAGTCGGAGTCGGGGCAGGGGTCGGGGCCGGAGTCGGGGCCGGAGTCGGAGCCGGGGTCGGAGCCGGAGTCGGAGCCGGAGTCGGAGCCGGAGTCGGGGCCGGAGTCGGAGCCGGAGTCGGAGCCGGAGTCGGGGCCGGAGTCGGCGCAGGGTCGGGGCTGGAGTAGGAGCCGGAGTGGGGGCCGGAGTCGGGGCCGGAGTCGGGGCTGGAGTAGGAGCCGGAGTGGGGGCCGGAGTCGGCGCAGGCGTCGGGGCTGGAGTAGGAGCCGGAGTGGGGGCCGGAGTCGGCGCAGGCGTCGGGGCCGGAGTAGGAGCCGGAGTGGGGGACGGAGTCGGCGCAGGCGTGCTATGGCATGAGTTCTTACCACTCGAGCTCTGCTTGCATGACGACTTGTCCGTGCGGGGGCCTGGGG